TGTATACACAGACATCCACCTAAACCTTCGGTCTTTGCATGCCACCCGCGTATGCTCCAATCCGCAATTATCGCTTAACAAATCTACTTCCTTTTAATATCTTCGCCAAATGCGTCGAGTGTACACAAGGCACGAATAGCACAGCAACACGAAGAACAACAACAGCATTCGAGTACTAAATGCTACCGCTATAACAGCAAAAATAATAAGTAACAAATTTAGCTTCATCAACGAAAACAAATACAGCATCAGCTTGCTTGCACAACACCATATCATCCTTGCTAACACCCAGCAATCACAACAACATGGGCATTCATTCACCACTGCCTACATACTTACATACATACATACGTATGTATGTACGTACATAGAATAACAGCAGCAATGAATAATGACAAAAGCAAATCGAAGGAATTTCGTAATTTACTCTCAACGCCGGCATTTGCATTGGTATCGGAATTGGAACAGCAACAACAAAAACAACGAGTGCGAAAAAACCGCAACAATACCAAATAGTGTTTCTATTCCAGTGCGTACCGTTGCCCAAAACAATACCGTTACCACGCCTCCGCATTCCACCACTCTTGCCTATTGCGTTTCAATCGGCCTTTCGTTCCGCTGCGTGGTTCGTTGCGAAATAGCCACTTTTATTGTTATTGGGTAGTACAATTGTGAAAATCATCTCTTCATCGGATGATAATAAAACTGTTTTCGTTCGCGTTTCACTGCTGGTTGTGTTTTTGTTTGCGGCCTATTGTGGTGTTGTATAGTGGGTAAGGTCTTGCATTTGCCTTGTAGAGTTGCCAACTGGCAAAAGTTATTTGAATGGATGATTGAGCTTTTACTTGTGAAAATCTTTAAGTTTTCTTAAAATTTGTAACAACAAGTATTTATTTGTTTTAATACAACTAAGCTGCCAGAAATAAAAAAGCACAATTTACTTATATTAACATTGAAAAAAGTGGAATGAGCTTAGTGGCAAGGCAACTTTTGCGACTTTTGTTTAATATTTGAATTTACACTACATACACTTATTCTATTAAAATCTACAAACTTTTTAAATTAAAAAGGCGTCATTTAAAAATTTTGAAACCTGCTCTCAGATTCGGAGTTCTTACGACAAACTAGACATTGTTGTTACTCATACGCCATGACATGCGTAACTGAGGCAAGTAATTAAGCGCATGCCTTTGGGTTTTGACTTTTACTCCACAGGCAGCCTAACTCTTTCGCATGGCAAGGCGCATGGGTGACAGCAATGTCTAAATATGTAATAGAGAATTTACATGAGGCAATTTTCCAGGCAACTTTTAGTTTAAAGCAACAATCGCCTGGTATAAGCGTCCTTTCAACTAGTCGCTTTCAATGATGTAGGTAGGCGGTCAAATTTCGTTCAATTTTTGATTCAACTAATCGCGTGTGAAAGAAATTCCCTATAACTCTCTTTTTTATTAATTAATTATTACGGTTCCAATGAAAACAAGTACGGACAGTGCTGTATTCGGCTCCATACCTCTCATGAACATCGTAAAATTTTACCTCAACCGATCACTGTATGTATTTAAATTTAGTTGTTGGGGAACTAAACAAAATTTTTAACTTAACTGCATCCATAGATAAAGGAGTTATACAAAAAATTCATATCGGAACAATAAGTGGTATGGAAGATCTACCTTATATAGCACCGATTTAAATGACTTTCACTACTGTGTGTGATCGAAATGTAAACCGATCACACAATTGAATAGTCTTATCCGCCTACATAAAGGAGTTATATCGCAGAAACTTGTATCTGCACAATCAGCGGTAGAGAGATATATGGAGCTTACGTAGCAACGAACTTGACAATTTTCTCAGTAGACTTTTTACATATGATTATTTAGAAAACATCTCACGAAATTGCCCGGTTTTAACCATCCAAATGAAGAAGTCTTAAAGTAAACCCCATATAGGCTATAGGTTATGGTAGTCCGATCTTTGTAATTTTCACAGAAAGATTTTTCTAGACAATTAGTGAAAATAATAAAAATTACCTAAGATTTTTTTGATTTTGTTTTGGAATATTTTATTAAATAAAATGACCAATGGAATAATTATTTAAGGATTTTGTGTAATTTTTTAGCATTTCTCCCTAATATAATTTTATGAACGCAAAGAATTTTTCCGCAAAATCGTTACCGCTACCCCTGCTAAAATTTACGCGTCTATGAAATTCTTAATATTCATAAAAAATGTGGAAAATCGTACATAGAAAAGCATTTAGATATAAAAATTAAAAAAAAATTGTGAAAATGTGATATTCAATATAATTTTTTAATAAAAATTTCTAAAAAATTAAGAAACGGGTAATTAAATTTTTTCGCCTGACAAAGAAGAAAAAATAATGTAGCGCTACAGCCTCTCTAAAGTAACTTGTAAAACAAATTTATATATTAAAATCTAAAGTAGTCTACGCTAAAAGCTCTTCATAGGGTATTTCTTTTTTGAATCGTATATTTTGGAGTCTAAAAAAGTTTCTGGGAAGAGCATTGAATAGAATAAATTTGCTTGTTGCTGATTAATTGCTCAACAAAAAATTACTGAATAATCGCTTTGAGTGAAAAAAATTTACAGAGATCTAAAAGTTAAAGTTTTTAGACGATTTGCACTAGACACAAAATGGAAGGAAGAGAAAATAGTATAAAATAAGAGCCTTATTAAAAATATGCCTACTTGCAGAGCCCTAGAAAATCTCTTGTTCAGAGCCTTATAAAAACCTTATAAAAGCATATTTAGTATACGTTTAGAAGCTTATGAAACCAACTGTTATTCACATTTAGAGTTTTGTGTTATCCGGGTAATAAGAAATTTTAGTATAGGGACACTAAAATGACAAAATAAAACGCTAAAAGCATAGACAGACGCCAGAGTTGATCCGGATCAATTAGTTAATGTGGAATTTTCTGCTGGAATTAACTGCTGTTGATCCGGATTAAGTCCTAGAGTTTGTTCCCAAAGTTAACTAGGATCAAGGCAATTTTCGACAAAAACATTGACCAAAACTCAGAGAGTGTAGAGTACAGAGAATATGTGAAACAAGCATGGACACATAACTTCTAATAGAAAATGCAGTCACCATACTAATTCAGATAGGAATCCAATTAAAATTGAATGAGAACTTATTTGAGATAGTATGGTGACTGCATTACCGACGACAATGTGGATGTCCATGCTAGTTATAACAATTCTTTGTATTCTGAGCAAACAAATACGAGTAGTGAGAGCTGCGTACTACAAGTTTGCAGGTCCCAGGTTCGAACCTCAGTTGGAGCGATTGCCAAAAAGAATTTTTGTTTTTATTATTTTTTTATTTTTTATTTAATTTTATTTTTATATTTAAATTTACTTTCTTTTCTTTTCATTTATTTTATTTTATCTCACATTTAAATTTTCTTTCACATTTTTATTTTATTATTATGAAATATATTTTTTTACACTCTTTATCGAAAAAAAGAAGACACCTATTATTTTATTTCGTCATGATATTCGAAAATCTCGAAAAAAATTCCCGAAATTTTGAACTCACGGGGAAGTAATTTTTTTCAATTGTTTGCAGTTAATAAACTATTTGTTGCAGAAAATCAGTTAAGGTATAAAAATGTGCGCAATTACCTCGGCTTTCCATGAAGTGTTAGATAGATTTAAATACAATTTTTTTTTATTAACTTCATCATGTTTGATTTTTATCTGTTTCAACCTAAATAGTTCTCAAACTTTATGGAGTACGCTGTAAAAATTTGAGAGCGAAGCACCAAAACTGTTGAAGTACGAGTTTTTTCATACCTGCGTACATAAACTTTAGTATAGCGATTGTCAGAATCCCACTGCTGAACTTGAAAAATGGTATACAGATCCATATTCTAATGACCAATATTAAGTTAACGAATTTCGGCGTATTTTTGTATCATTTCAAAACTTAAGGCTTTCCTTAACTTACTACACACTATCCTTACATACATACATAAACATGTGTATGAAAATTTACATATTAATAATCACTATAACACATCTTTGTTTCATATCCTTTAACCGCCACTACATCGAATCCGCAGCTGATATTACACTTTAAAATGGCAAGAAGCATTTGCTATCTACATTAAAATTAAACACATCCTTAATTATTGCCGCACCTTAAAAAATGTCAATGCACAAACCGATACTTAAACCATACCGCTTTACGCCCGCACTAAATTCACACATTAATATTCCTAATATCTCTATCACTACAATTGCTATTAATAAACTTTATAATCAAAACATTTAATAGCTGCACTTATTCAGATGAACTATTCAAAACTATTGTTTCAATACCACTTTATTCCGCCGTTGCACCAATGAGAGCATAGAGCAGCATCCAAGTTGTTGCGCTTGCTCTCGCCTCCCCTCCACCGGCAAACGGAAGTACGTGCCAAAGAGAGGATGCTCACTCCTATAGAGCTCACTTCCGCACAACACTCGTTACTCGTGGCACAAATAGAGTATCAGCATCCGGCTCCGTGCTCGCACGACACGCATGCAATGGGTGACGCCCGACTATCCACGTTGCTGCCGTTGTGACGAATGTACTAAAAGCAGTTATGCTCTTTCTCAGCACCCGAAGTGGCTAAAGTGGCAACTCGTACACGACGTCAATGCTGACTTCCGCCGCAGCATCGCGGCTGTTGCCAAATTGCTGCTGAAGCTGTGAAGTTGGTGCTAGTGTTAAGTCATGTTGATGGGGTGTTGCCCCCGCTGTTGCTGCGCCCAACTGCTATTTATTTATTAGCGCTGTTAATGCGATTCCTTGCTGTTCCCAGAATTGCCGTTGCTGTTGCTGTTGCTATTTGTCTATACAGCGACGAAGACTGTCACTGTTCCTATTCGCCGCCATACGATGCGACGACACTCAAGTGAAACTGAAACATACAGACTGTGCTCGGCCGCCGACCACTTGGTGGTAGTCAGTCTCTAAGGAACTTTTGTGCGGTTCGGTTCGATTTGGTGTACTTCGTGGTGAATATAAATATATCGTTTGTTGTACGTTGTTCGCTACATGGATGTACATATAATGCAGTTTTCGCTGCGCCTCTAGTGTTTGGCCCACATTGCGAATGCGTCCTCATTACGTGCATTTTACTGGCAATAAAAAGGATTTCAACATATACAAGTATTTAAAAACCTGTTTTTTTTCGTGGCTTTTGAACTGCAAAGTGAAGTGATGAGTGATAGGCAGCAAGTTGAAAATTCGCAAGTACATAGCCGCTGTACCGAGCGTCAGTGATAGCGCGAGTGCGAGTACATAGTTAGAAAAGTAAAATACGAAAAAAAACGTTGTAAAAAAAGCAATTAGCTTTGGCTGCTGTTGGTAGGCTAGCAGCGCATGAGCATTCTCAGCTACGCGTAACACCTTGCTAGTACATACATACATACATACATATTTCCAGCAGTGGTAATTGTTCGGTGTTAAATTGATGCAAACGAAATTTCGATTCGCAATAAAATTTTCTGCGAGCGCTATGTGAACCTTTTGTGGATATTGTGGCCGACTTTACTAAATTCTGCAGCTTTACCGGTCGTTTGTTTTGTTTTGGTGTGTGCGTGTGCACTACGCAGTCGTCGAAATTAATTGCTGCGACAGGTAACTATTAACTTTTATTGTCGTGCTTACTAGTTATTGTTATTGTTGTTGTTGTTGTGGCCACAAGCTGCGCTGATAAATTAAGTCGTTTTTGCCGGCGTGCATTCCTCCTATTATATAAGTACATAATACATGTTTTTGTGCGTGTTTGCGTCATAAACTTAAACGCTAAAGTGATTTCCAATCGTGTAATTCGTTGAAGTACTAAAAGTTCTTTGTGTGCATTGCCACTGCCAGTATGCAGTAGAAGCAGCAAATGTTTTTGCCGCAACAACAAACACTTCAACCTTAAGTGTCGTGACAGTCAGTTTGCCATAAAAAAAGCTTGATGTACTCGCTCGCTGCGGCACCTGCCCGGCATAGTAACACGTACTAAATAAGTTCGCATCCTTTGCGCCCACTTTTGGTCGGTGGTGTATAGGTACATAGCCAGTAACGTGCCGGGGCTACACAAAAATACCCAAGCTGTGGCGCATTGAGGCTGCGGCGTGCTGCTCTATTGCTGTACGGCTTGGTCGTCGTAAAATATCACCGGTGAACGTGCGCGGATTAGAAAGCCACCTAAGCAGTTGTGCGGCCGTGCGGTGAGGGTGGCAGCGAGTTGCTTGTGCGCTGCTGCTGACTCTTTTTATTCGGGTAAGTGCCTATGTAATTGGATATATGCATTATATCTGCCTGTATTTCAGTGAATTGTATGCACGTGCGAGAATGTATGCTCATCGTTCGTTTGCTACTCAACGTACTTATTTGCCGTTAGGTGACTTGTCTCTCCCTCCCAAGGCCTGTTTCTGCAAATTTTGTGTGTTTATATATTTATCTATGTACCTATGTATATGTATGTAGGAATAGAAAAAATATATCTACACATATATGAAGCCGACGACGATGTAATTTCAGTTTAGTATTCTCATGCTGTAGCTGTTGTTGTAACGTAATTCTATTTTATATATATTTTTTTTTTTTTGTTTTTGCATATAAATATAAGCGCCAACAACAACAACAACGTTTTCACTTTTCTCTTTCATTTCTTTCTTTTATTTGAGCGCAAAATAATTTACAACGTCAGCTGTTCGTTACATTCATACACATCCACCCACACACATATAGGCACACACTTTTTATTTATTCAAATAGATTTTTTTTTTAGCATTTTATTGCTTTACGCTTTGCTTGCTGCCACAACAAGCAGTCGTACGTACAGCGCTGTGCGTCGCAAACGCAATTTTGTTGGCAAAATAAAATATTTTGCTAACGGTAATTGGAGGCACGCACCTCCAGTGGGGTGGCATGGATTTATGATGCGTTGGAATTTGGCGCTATCTTCTCTCGCTTGGCTGCTACAATTACGCTTCTACTAATCATACTCATGTTTTGTGTGTTTGTGTGTGTGTGCGTGTGTGCGCACCGCCACTGTGAATTGAATTTGTGGCCCAGTGACGTGTGATAAGCGCTAACGGCCATCGGGAGGCGTTAGCGATGCAAATTTGTTGTCGCGCATAGTAATCGTAACCGGTGGTTGGGTAGTTGGTTTGCAAGTTGGCAGTTGGTGAGCTGTAAAATTGGCGGCCAATAAATGTGGCGAGTAATTATTTTTAATTATCCAGTCGGAGTTACGTGCAGATCCTGATCGTAATAAATATAATGCAGGTCTATGGTTGCAATGCAATAATCAGTGGTTTAGGTGTTAGATGCGGCAGGTTATAGATAACTATGGCCCTTATGGTCATCGTTTTGTATGGGGGGAAAACATTTCAGCGTAGAGAATGTGGTACGCTCTTAGTTTGTTTTTCGTTTTGGTATTTGTTCTATATTTACCAAATTTAAATTTTCTGCTACAACCAAGACAGAGTGCTAAATGACCTTGAAATTCTCTACTGAATCCCATTGAAACTGTCAAAAATAGGGATGATTTTTATAAAACGCTAGTGTTTCCATGACAACTGAAGCTTGTGATATTATTTTAGCTAATTTTTGTACATTTGAAAGTATCTTAGGTTACTTAACTTAATAAAGCATCCTCTAAATTTATACTTAAAAACGTAAAGTTTGGTGCCAGCCCCTCTTTCGGTAAAGGTAATATTTTGGAAGGTGCCCTGAAACTTATTTCGGAGTTTTTTTTTGACCACTCCGTATATATCTATGTATGTAAAAACAGCGAGAATCACACCTAACCCAGGCGTGAAAATTAAAAAAGAACGGCGTTTTTGAAACTGTATGCCTTCCGCGATTCGATTCGTTACTCCATTTTATTTTGCATGAAATGGCCAGACTTCCAGATTATTCTGACTTAACTACCTTTGGAAGGATAAATTTACATGAAATTGCTATAATTCAATTTGAACGATGCTACGATTCGGTGTTTTGAAGACACCTTCTCGCTTGCCTTCGAATGGCGCAGCTTCCAACAGGATATTCTTGTTGAAAAGGCCCGTCCTAAAAGCTTTTATTTATGTAGAAGCACTCCTCATTTGGCCTTCTTTGTATGAGGTAATTCCTGGGTTCCGTCAAGTTGAGAGTGCAGGACCCATTTCATCTATGTTGAGGAATTAATTAAAAGTAAAGCAAGAATTTGTTAATTTCGGAAACACTATTGATTGTAGTCTGATTTTTTAATTTGGGTCGGGGCATGGTACAATAATTACAGACAATACCTGAGAGCGCATATTCCGATCTGCCTTATTTAAAAAATATCTTTGTTGCCCACACTAAAAGATTTACTGCTGGGGATATTTCCATACCCCATATACCATAATGTTCACGTGTTTTTTTAAACAAACCGTCTAGCAGAGAACTTATTTAATTTGCAAAAGCCGGGAAAAACATTTGCTCGTAAATAAATTCAAAATTTGTATGGCTCACTTAATTTTAAACGTTTTTTCTTTTGTTTTGAAAAATTATAAAAATTAAATTGAGCGAAAACAAAAAGCAAAGCCAAATTAAAGTAACAGAATCAACATTGAACTTCGTCAAAATGAAAATAAGGGAGCGCGAGTTTCGAAGTGAAGCAAAACTCTCTGTAATTATTGTACCATGGATCGGAGGCGACTTGAAATTAAAAAGAAATCACACTTACACATATCAAAATTCTCTATGAAAAGAAATATTTTTTTCTAGAAAAAACTTAAAAAAAAAAAATTAAAAAAAATTGAAAAAAAAACACAATGGTAGCTCTAGGTATTGTGCAATATTTAAGTATAGTATTAATTTTGTTTAGAATACGATATTTTGAGTTATGAATTTTTTTTTGCACCGAAGTTGAGTAAAATGTGTACATTACGAATTTACAAATTTTTAAAATTTTGTTTAGAATTTTTTCAACTATGCAGTTTTGTAGCCCATTAAATTTTAGTATAATAGAGTTCAAGTTCTTGTTCTTGTGATTTTTAATTTTTTTTGAGATGGCATATTTTCAAAAACTACTTTTTTATGAAAAGATTTGTATGTGCAAAATTTGTTTAAAAGTATTTCTTTTCATAGAGAATTTTGATGTGTGTATGTGTGATTTTTTTTTCAAATTTTTTCCTCGCCTCGTACTCGAGATATTTGGAAAACTATTAAACCGATTTGTTTTTGTTTTTGGGCTGTAGAGTTTTTAAAAATGTATTCATCAAGCCCAAATTTCATATTTATTTATTATTTATGTTTATCCATTAACCCTAAAAATTTGAAACAAATCAAACACATGAAGTGTGAACCCCGGCCCATGTACAACTTTTTCGGCCATACCGGAGATTTACGAATATGAAATATGGCAAGAAAAAGATGAAGGCCCGCACTGGTCAATAAGGGTCTGTGTTTTAAAATTCCCCCTCCATTTTTTACTGAGACCAGCAGCGAAATTTCAACATTCGCTATCGCAAATTTTGATCGCTAAAAATATCCCGAAGAATGCAGTATCTAGTTACATGCCCCTCATAGTGGCAGGTTTGGCTGATTAATAGGCTGCGGATTTTTATGCAGAAAACAAACCGAAAAACATGTACCCATAACTACAAAAAAGTATAAAAATGTATTTATTTTTCTTCTAGTTAAGTGGTACATACTTTTTGGCTTCGTTTTCCGCATTAGGTTCTGTACTTTTATTTTCGGAGCAGAAAGACTGCAGTTCTCTTCACATGAGAGTGTTTTCCATTTAGCGTGAAAGTTATGTTGTCGTGTAGAGTTGTGAGGGAGGCAACTGTGAACAGGCCTATATATATTGCCGGCCCCTTTAATAGCATGCTCGTTTGATTTTCAGTATAACAAAAACCATGCAAATCCAATATTTAAACTTCATACAAATTTTAACAACTATATATTAAGTATATATCCCTGAAAAGTCGTTTTTCATTTTTCCGAATGTTACCGCATACACCATCGCGTTAACTTCAAATTTGCATGTCTCTCTGATTTACTTAGGCTCTTTAGGGATATTTTTAGGTTATACTGTGTTGACTCATTTTTGGCTTTCCATGAAAATTTTTAAAAATTCTAAAATATATGCCATCAATAAAACTAAATCTCGATGTGCTAGAAAAAGGCTGTAAAGTTGTTCCTTTAAATTAAAAAAAAAAAAAAAACATATTAAGAAATTCAGACTTTTTAGATTTGCAAAGGAAATTAGTATAATTTTGTAACATTTTTGAAAATAGTAGATATTACGTATAGTTAGTTTTTGTAACTAAGCGGCATTTTTTTAATAAATCTACAAATTGATAAGTCACCCCTCTAGACATCTGGGTAGCTAACTATTTCTGTTTGGTCTAATTTTAACCGTTTTTTTAAATAAATAATTGAATTTTCCTGACCTTTTTCGGATTTGAGTATTGCTCTTACCGCCGTAGCCGTGTGATTAGATGTGCCTACTGCTACATGGTTGAATTTCTAGCGTTGGCAACATCAAAAAAATGGCAAAACACCGAGTGTAATTCTTCGGAGCTGAAGTAAAAATGTAGATTACAGTCCGACCGAGCGTTCGGCCTCGGCTTCGGATTGCCGATTAATAGCCAATATTTGCATATTCGGCTAAATGCTCGGGTTCGGCAAAAAAAAAACTACCGATGTTTTTGCCGAAGCCGAAACTTTTTGGTAGATCTTTATTTTTTTTGAACATTTATTATAATCTAAAGGTGTACAATTATTTGAATAATCCTTAAAAAAAAAATGTGTTATTGGAACTTTTTCTTAAACTCAGCTGATTGTCAGTTGAGAACTTCGGAATTTGAATTAGTAATAAGGAAATATATTTTTAAATATTGAAAAACTAGCTACCTAAAATTACTTCTGGCAGTTGCTGAAAATTATCTCTCTGCTGCAATCAGTGGTCGCAGAACAACTCACTTGTCAAGAAAGCAATCAAATCATTGTATTTAACCCTTAATTAGCCGCTTGGGGCCAAGGCCATTTTAAATTGAAAAAAAATATGTCTTGGAGTGCTTGGAGTGTGCTCGCGCTCTTTCTAGTTTCCGAACTCCCCGCGGGGTACACATGTGCCGAAACTGTTTTAAGTATTGACCCCATGCCAGCACTTACGTAACGTTTTTTTGGCGGAGGTAAGTTTTTTTTTGTATCTAAGTTTGAAGTCAAAGTTATGCTTTTATGCTAAAAGAATACATTTTTATTCATTAACCTTAATTTGATAAAGTGGGTTTGGTGAT